CGATTGAATTCTTCTTCTATAATTCCCTTTTTTCTTTGAATTTCATGAATTTTTTTAAAATTAAGGCATTACTTGTTTGAAAAGTTTTGTTTTTAACACTGATTAAATTCTTTTTTTACATTAATATGATTTAAAGAAATTTATTTCTTATGCATTTCAAATTTTGGTTTTTCGAAAATTGGTTATATATATATATATATATATATAATAAATTCCATAGTCAAAAATACACTTAAAATTCTAACTGTATGTTCTTTTCAATTTTAAAGGCGACAGTCTCTTATTTGAAAGTACGTGGAATTAAATCCACAGCCCCGTAGTCAAGTTGTTTTTCCCGCCTTTTGTACACGTACAGTTATAGAATGCTCTGGAAATATTTAAAGCGAACTGGATTGGCTGATGAGGCTGACGTCATTTCTTGGAAGTTCCGCCTTTCCAGAGGCTATAAAAAGACTCGCAAAGGAATATCGGGGGCTTTTCTTAAATGTCACGATGCAGTAAAATTCATACAAAAAGTTATTAGTAATTCTTTTTTATTTACTCATGTGATCTAATTTTGTAACTGCTATTACTCCTGAATAACAATAAATGGATCCTGTTTTTTAAACTTATCGTCTGACAATTTAAGCTACGACTACATCTATGATTCTTCACCGATCTATTTATTCTGGATAAAGGCATCACACATATATATATACGTATATATATGTGACACATATATATATATATATATATATACGTATACCCACTCTGTTAGCTACCTGAATAAGCTCCGTGTTCTTATATATTGGTAAATTGTGTATTTTTGCTGTAAAAGTGATTGAATTATGTTGTTCTTATTGTAAAATTGATTGAATTGTGTTGTTCCGGTTAAGGATTTTATGCCTTTAGTTAATCTGCTTGCAATACTTGTATAATTATCAACAATTTAATAGTTGTTACAGTGTCGCTAAGATTAAAGAAACCATCATTTATTCACATTTGAAAACCCTTAGTAGGATAGTGAATTAAGGCAGTTTCTGCACCTTCAATGTGCTTTTGCCGAGCAGGACCGAAATTTCAGTTTTGTGCACGGATAAAAAGAAAAAAAAAATCTGTCTTCTCTTTGTCCGAAATGCTTGTTTTTGGGTAGAGAACCTAAATTTAATTTTAAAAAATATTTTTAACTCTATTTGGTGTTTTATGCTTTTCTGTATTTTACAGTTTTAAATGATAATGTTTTGAGATTTACGTATTTTGGCATTGCGGCAAAGCGAGAATTAAGTTAATTGAATGAGAAATATATCTACAACTAAGTTCGAGGAAACAAGTTTAAATTAAATCCAGCAAAAATATGTTTAAATTAATAGGGCGTACAAGGACGTCATGTGGTCTTTATGAGATGTTTAAATGTTACATGAGATGTTTTAGCCCATGGGCGTTAGCCAAGATGGGTTATTAATTTCATTTTGGTATTTTACGTTGGTTCAATATAAATGTCAGTTCACTTTTCACATTTTGCTGCCACCAAAAATTAGAGCCTTGCGCTATATTTAAGAGAACGTATATAATGAAGAATCTGCAGAAATGTATGCATTTTTCTCGCATTGTGATAAAACAACGGTAACTAGAGCCATCAAATTTTGAATAACGTACATCTAAATCCGAACATGGGCATTTGGAAGCCAAAATTTGGAATTTGAAATTTGTTTTATAATCGATTTCACATTTGAAACACTTTTACAAATTTTTTATGAACACACCCAATGGTTTTAAAGCGAGCAATGGAACACTGTACATAAAAAAAAAAAAAAAAAATTTAAAAATATTTAGCACACGAGACTGTGTATCAGAAATTCTAAAGATATACTCATTTTAAAATTATTATGCGATATTGCTGTTGAATTGAATTCCATGGTTTAAGTGCAAAGAACACGATATTCAATAAATAAAGGTAACACACAAACCGTTGAAAAAATACCCCTTTCGTGTTAATGTCAAATCTGAAAGCTTTCCGATTTTATTTATTTATTTATTTATTTATTTTCAAATCTTAGCCCAAGTTTGACGTAAAACCAGAATGGGATATTAGTCTGGAGACGGAATTTTGCGTTGAATCACAGTAAACGATCTATAACGTTTCATATTACTGCCACCAAATATTATTGGTCTGCATTATATTTCAAGAAATTAAATAAGGAAGAGTCTATATGGATATATGCAAGTTTCTCGCATTCTGAAAAAGCGATGCTACCCCCCCCCGATTTCAAAGCGAACAGTAGCAATACTGTTAGGAAAGGAAACGTTTTATATCCAGCGCTCGAGGGTTTCTATCGGAAATTCTAAAGATATGCTGTTTTTAAATATTTTGGGATTTTGCTGTTGTGAACCGAATTTTATGTTGGCGTATACACTAAGAACATGCTATTTGTTAGAATAGCACAGAGTAAACGCACATAATGTCAATACATTTTTTCCCAATGGCAGATTATGAACAGTTACACTGTAACCCAGTCCATTAATCTGTACAAGGCCAGATGTGGTCTCTTTACAATGGAGGCACCTAATAGGTGGGCATCCATCGCCTCCTATGAAGGGACGGACAGTTACAACCATGTCTTCTTCGGTTTTTGAACCCAGGGCTTTCATAGTCAGGCTTCCATAACCACTATATCATCTGGGCGGTATGTCAATATAATAATAATAACGGTACTGAAAGTTTCAGATTTTATATTACTCCCAAACGGGCGTTTTTTTCATTTACAGATGCATACACGTTTCGAGAGCATATGGGCTAAAAATATTAAAAAAAAGTCTTATCTTTAGAATTTTTTATAGATAGTCTCGTGTGCTGAAGATTAATGTTATCATTATTATTATTATCCTATAGTATTGTCATTGCTTGCTTTAAAACTGTTGAATTTTTAATCAAAAATTCATTAAAGATTCACAAAATAGGAAATAAACAATAAAACAAATTCCAAATTCGGCTTCCATGCCCCTATGTTAGGGTGGAGGACTATGTTATTCAGAATTTGATGATTCTAGTTGCCGTTGGTAACGTCCATTTGGGCTAAATGTTTTTGTAAAAATATCTTACTAAGAAAAGTGGACATTGATATTATCAACTGAGAAAAGACTGGTAAAAGGAGAAACACGTATGCCAACTTCTAACGCTACATCAGGAATTCTAAACGTATACTTCTATGCCGCTTTTAAAATATTTGTGATTTTGTTGTTGAGTTGTATATGGCATAAGTGCGAAGAAAATCATGCTTTACTAATAATGCTAAAAGGACAAAAAAAATGTGTTAATAGGAGTGAGAGTAATAACAGACTGGTAGACTACGAATTCAGCGAGAGCGTAAAATGCTTAAAAAACCCTTTTAGCTGACCGTTAAAATCTGAAACCTTTCATATTTTTTAAGTTTTTTTTATTTTTAGTATAAAGGTACTTTATACTAAAATTTTGTGCGTAGATATCCCTGATGGACTATTGTTTTCGTTTTCCGATTTTTCGTTGGTTTACTATAAATGTCCGTTTCACTTTTCAAACTTTTGCGGCCAAATGTTAGAGTCCCGCATTATATTTGAAGAAATTAAATAATGAAAAATTTGCATAAATGTATGAACATTTCTTGCATTGTGATAAAACAACGGTACATAGAGCCATCGAATTTTGAATGACATAATCCTACTGCGAATATGGGCATGTGGAAGCCCAAATTTGAAATTTGGAATTTGTTTTATAATCGATTTCATATTTTCTAAAACTTTAACGAATTTTTGATTAACGAACTCAAGGATTTAAAAGCGAGCAATGGTAGCAGAAAACCATTGCTCGCTTTTAAATCCTTGAGTACAGAAAAAAACATTTTTACCTCCAGCGCCCGAGACTCTGTATCTGAAATTCTAAAGATATGATCAATTTAAAACTATTTTGCGATACTGCTCTTGAACTTAATTTTATTGTTTAAGTGCGAATAACGTGATATTTAATAAATAAAGGCAACAGACGAAATGTTAAAAAAACGTTCTTTGGATGTAATTTAAAATCTGAAACCTTTCAGACTTTTATTTATTTTTATTTTTTGTATGTGCGTATGTTTGCATGCAAAAATATGTTTGCTTCCTCTGAGCAAAGCCAGCAAGAACATGGCGTCATCTGTTAAAGAAAAAGAAGTAAATATTTATATATCTTAAGAAATGGGCCGTTGCTTTAGATTTAATAATAGTTGTCGTTCTTCCCAATTTACAAAACGCTCTTTGCTTCTAAGGAAGGGCGATTTCTTTAGAATCTTGATTGCATGCGATATTGATAGAAATTTATTCAAAATATATGCGAAAAAGATTTTTTTAAGAATTTTAAATTTTAAATCTATTGAAATTGAACCTCAGTGAATCTGCGAATAAAATTCGTGCCATAGTTGCCAAACGAAGTTAGAAGTAGAACAACAATTCTCAAGCATGGAAAGCTTCAGATCACTTACGCAAAATTTGCGGAATCTAGTATTTGAAATGTTAACTTTAGGGAAATCATCGTGTAACGCCTAGTAATTACAGTAAATGAATTAAAAGTTATTCATGACGAGTACTTCCGATGCATCATTTCTAACTAAAACTGGAATGTAATTAAAAGAGGAGTGAGCACATAAAATCTGATATTAAGGCAATTTAGCATCTTGTCACTGGTAAGGATGGAAAATGTCCATTTAATAATCGAAATTTATAGATCGTGTACAATATATGTTATTCGAAACAGCCTTGTTAATTTCTGAGTTAATTAGTCCTGATAAATTATACCTATGCGAATAAATTACTTTTTCTTCTTAACAACATCTGTGACAGCAAAATTTTTATAATGCAGAAAATATCAAATTTTAATTTTTGTAGATTACATATTTTTGCAATTAAAACGGATTTATTTGTTTTATTCCTCTAACTGCTAATTTAAATAAAACTTTTTAGCTCAATAAACGTCAGAATAATTACTTAAGGAAATCAATATTACAAACACTTACCTTTGTTGAACAACGTTACCATCAACCAAAAAGAGGCAATCATGTTAGAAACTTAGATTATTTGACCACAGACAGTAGCTGAGTAATCCTTCTAGTAAGAGTACAGATCACAGTTGAAGCATACAGTATTGGAGGTTGTCTATTAAAATTATCTTATTCACATTATTTAACTTATTAATTATTTCAATTATTATAATTATTCATTTCAATATTATAATTAATAATCGAGTTCTCTTTTCAATGTTGCAGATTCGTAGCAGTCACTCAATTCAAAGTTCCACTGATGTTACATGCTTCATCGTACGGTGCTTCTAAGTTGAGAAGTATTTTTCGGCAATTGATTTGAAAATCATAAAATCTACCTCACAAATAAGTATATTTGGTAGCTCAGTTATTTATTTGTAAAGTATATCAGAAGATTTAAGTCATTTATAATTTACGAATTGAAATGATTTTGCTAATATACATTTTGAAAAGTATTTCACAACTTGACAAATGTAAAATTTCCAATGAAAGCATACATCTGAAATGTTCACTGCACACAACAATCCATTTTTTAATGTTTGTTCAGAAAAAATATATATATTGTAAAGTGTGCCGGAGTGAGGAGCATGTAGCTGAGCAAGAGCGGAAACGTGTATTTCCTAGTGCAAGCTTGTCACATCTCAAACGTGTTCCACACGTTCAAACGGCGCGCTGAAAATTCTCATCTACGAATGCGTGGGAGATGTGTACTCTCCCATGCCGCCCTGGAAGAAGCACTTAACGGCACTGGATTGAATCTTCTCCACGCTTTCCGAAAATAAATCGTACTTTAAGGCGCCATATGTGATCGCCATGGCGATATTTTGGCGCCGTTTAAGAAAACGCCAAAGGAGAAATTCCTCATCATTGATTGTTCAGCATTTTAAGCGTTTTCTAAATCATTATAATTGAAAATTATGAGTTTCCTAGAGTACAAATTGTTAGCTTCTTTGAGTATGATGTACATTTCATGGCAAATGATGGGAAATTTGCGTTCTGAAGATTAAACTCGAATCTCTGTTGCGCAAGGTTGATTCAGAATTATGTAATACTTTAAAGCTTCCTTACGGCATTCTTATTTCAGTAAAACGCATGTAACATAATAATACGATTAAGATTATTTTAATTAATATCTGAATACACTGAGCTAATTTGAAGACACAAGGTTTTCAATAAGCGAAACACGAGAAAATGTTATTCAGTCAAATACATTTTTAAAAAATTGAAAAGTGCTTTTTTGATTAATCTTTATTTTTACAAAAAGAGAATTATCATAATATAAAAAGCAATATTTAATTATCTAAAAGAATTTAGAGAAAATTTCTATGAGTGATTGCAGGCTATTTTTTCGCAGTTAACTAGTGTTACTATTTTTATGTCGTCAGCTTTCAAATAGTTTAAGATCAGAGTAGAAAAATGTAAACTCTTTGATGTTAATTATTCTCTCAGGTTCTCTCGCATCATTATATTTAAAATTTTATATATTCTTTAAAAGATTACTTTTCGAAACTTTTGACCATTTTAAGACAAAAGAAACTTTTTGACTTAATCAAGCTTTATCTTTTATTTGCAATACTGATTTTCATAATTATTGAGTTTGACATCAATTCGTTCTTCCTAATTTTAGTCTATGAATTCAGTTTTCCATTACTTCCTTCTTTAATTTTGTGCGTAGATATTTTAAGACATAATATTGTATTTCAGTTAACTATATTTCATTTCTTCCTCTCAGTTATTTTTTTGACATGGAACAAATGTTTCAGGAAAGATTACGAATTATTAATAACAAAATCAAATAGACTATTAAGTATTAAATTTTACTTCACTACAGTTTTCAAAAGACCAATGAGAAATTTTTGTAACCTTAATATACATTATCTTTCGTGTTCTTGTGTAGGAAATATACTTTATTTCCTAGGAAAATAGCAAATATTGTTTACGTGCTATAAATAAAGCAAAGCATTTGATAGTAATTGCTTATTTGGTTTACTTCGGAAGTCGTGCAAATTCGTAAGTGTAAATAAACGCACGATGCATATTTAGTCCCTTTTCTTGACCTTTGTTGTAAACATTTAACAAATAGTATATCTCCAAAGGCGCAAATCTGATGGCATCCTATTATGACAACCCGCATACCCTTACAAAACGGATATTTTTCACATTTAGGAACCTCTAAATATTTAAATATATTATATAATTTTACACTGTAATGCAGAATTTTACAATGCAGAATGCAATGCTAAGTTACATAGCGCAAAAGCCAGCTAAGCACTCTGGGAAATATTTACATTGCACGAGAAATAAGATCTTAAACGTATCTTCCAAACTGCGTGGTGAATAATAAGTTAACAGAATATTGCCCTTTGAAATGATATAAAAATAATTAACTCTTCTTTTTCTTTTCCCAGTCTTTTGTTTCATTATTAAGGAAATAGATAATTAAATGTAAGTAGAATATTTATTTTACATTTAAATAAGATATTTAATCGTGCAACATTTAATTTGCGATATATGAGATTCATTTACAATGCGAGTTTGAAGCATTATTACAATAAATGGATATTTATAACTCCATATAGTATGTAACACCTTGGCATAGAGAAGTTTGATTTAAATGCATTATCGAATATGAAAGTGTGATTCTCTAAATCCCGAAAACAATCATTCACATTATGATCAGAATTTTAATTCAGGCAAATTATCCTGATTATAAGCAACGAAATACTCCTAATAAGAAGGGAAAAAATAGGATAAGATGGTATTATTAAAATGCACTCTGTTGAAAAATAAATATATGCCCAACCAGAATAATTTGGCTCACATCTATACGACCCAGCATGCAAATGTAGTATAGCAAGCTCTTTAAATGATTGAACCCTGCAGCCTCAGTCAGTACTGTGGAGCGATACAATGTGCGTTTGAAGTGCGCAGCAGGTAGAATATAAAAGTGCGTGCGCTGTGAGTGACAAGCATTTACAACCGCCCTAACAGCTTAGATACATGATATTGTAATAACAGTTTCCTTTAAGACGTTACGGCTAGTTGCCAGACATTCAGAGGGGTAGCATCATGGGACTAAAAGAGGCCGGTTGGTCAAACAGGCGGATGGATCGTCATATTGGACAAAGCGACATGGTTGCCATCAGTTCCGAAAACCAGTGTCTCAGCGAAGGCGTAGCCAGCCGCCGTAGTGTATCAGGACATCCCAGGAACACCAATGAATGAGATGATCGCGCAATCAGAACACATGACATGTCCACACCAACAGTAACGCTATCATAGATTCAACGCCATTTGCGAACTCACAGGGAGCCCGGAATAACGAGGGATATGATTTGCAAAAGACTAGCTGACTATGGGCTCAGATCTGGATGTCTATTAAGACACTTGCCATTGACGCTTTTACCATAAGCAATGTGCCACTTTGATCAAGCTGGGCTGTGTCCAATTACAGAATTGTGATCTGTAGCGATTAATCACGCTTTCCGCTCAACAATGATGACTGCAGCATACGTGTCTGGAGACGCATAGGTGAGCGATCCAATGTACCATATATTACCCAGTGGCGCTCAGTCAGAACACGAGGTATGGCTGTGTGGAGAGCAATCCCCGGGACAGCAGTTCATCATTAGTCGTGCTGCGAGGTATTCTGACAGCTCGCAGGTACGTTGACGAACTTTTGCAGCCGATTGTAATGCCTATGCTAGTAGCTCGTCCAGGTTCTGTTTTCAGCAGTACAACTCTCAGCCACATACAGCACGACTTTTCCAACAATGTCTCAGATTTGCTAATGCCCTCGACTAGCTTTCTAGGTCACCATATCTATTGCCTATAGAACATGTTTGAGTCACGCCAGGCAGGCAAATCCAACCGTATACAAATATGTTCCAACTTGTTGCTCCATTTGGGCACAATCTACCGCAGAGAGACATAGCCAACTTAGACTTCATTCCAACCAAGTTTGGGTTTAAATATCTGCAAGAGTGGCTTTGCCATGTACTGATTTTCACATTCTTTATATTGCTACTTGCAAATAAAACGCTTTTTCTCCTCAATGTTTTGATCTTTTTTTTTTTTTTTTTTTTTTTTTGCTCGAACACTACACTTCCGAGTTTTGTAGTTGTGGCTTAGTTCTTTCTGGGCGCACATATTTTTTGCAACAGATCGTATATTTACGAAAGGTTTCGGTACTATATATTTTAGTTTTGATTACCTATATCATTGCAGATAGCCTCTTTTCCCACATTTCAACATTGTCTTACGATTATGGATGCCCTATTAACATTTTAATCGATATTGTAAAATCATACTAAAATTGCTTCATTATCCAACTATATATAAATTTTGCGTATTTCTTTTGACAGTCTTGTGTATTCGCCTTTTGAGTCCCCTACATTCATAGTTTTTAATCTTCGCAATTATCTAGGAATTCATAATATGTAAGAACATATCGTAAATCCTATACAGAGAAATACTGCAGTAAACTTTATCTCAGATATTTTCTTAGCATTTACTAAATATTTAGTCTGCAGTTTATAATAAAATATTCACACACATGCATAAGTGACACATTATATATACATATCACAGGGATATATATATATGTAGGTAGATATCACTCATATAAGTTCCTTGAAACTCTTAAATAAATTCCATAAACCCATCTTTTATGCTTTATCTCTATTTAAGCGAGAGAGTTTCAGAGTATAGCATTTAAAGTCAACCCCGCTTCGAGCTTCAAACTCTCTCTCGTATGGCTCTAAAATTTTAGCCCAGCCGCCCCACCCATTACAACAACACCGGATGCGTTCGACTAGGGCTGGCATCCATTAGAACCATTCTTATCTTCTGCGAGAGAGATTTGCAAGGGCGCGCCGAACGAATGTCGGAAGTGTTCGGAAAGAGATAGAGCGCCCTCCTATCTCCGGCGGTGGTGGCGGTTGGGAATGGGAGGAGTAGAAGTTCCTCCCTTAAAGAGCCTTATCTGTAAAAACCGCGGTATTGGAAACTGTCGCCCGTTCCTGCAGTAATATTTTACTTTTCACTGTGTGTTGCTGTAAATTCACCTTGCGTTTATCAAAAATTCTTTGGATTATTTTGTTTGGTGAGATTATTCAAAGGAATAAAGCTCAATTTATCAACGTTTAAACAGTCTCTGTTTGTATTTTTAATCGAGTTTTCTTGCTAAAAAGGATGTTATGTGATACTGATCAATTTAAACATATGCATGTAATTTTGCTAAAAGGTTTGCTTTCTAATTAAATTTAAACATGGTTCCTGCACTCATAACTGTTTAAGCAAAACGAGGTGAAGGCATAAAAAGAATAAATGAAATGCAGTATAAAATGTAAAAGGAATTACCAGAATTTATCCATTTTTTTCAACGGGGTTCATCATATTGAAACACAATTACGTATTTATTTAATACAAATATATATTTTGAATTTAATATGAATACATGTATGATTACATATATAACGCTGTTACATATCAAGATTATCCGCAACTTCAAACACTAGTTACGGTATTGTCTTCGTTTCATTCCGTTTTTTTCGCATTCTAGTTTTTTGTCGTAAAAGATTGTTCTGGTTCCCTAGGATCGGGTTTCTCATGTGAAATGTTTTATATATAAATAGAGTAAGGCGAAGAAGAAATGACCAATAAATTGTATGAAAAAAGAAATTTTGCCCGTACAGTACACCAAATTATAATGAAACTAA